GATCCTGTGCCCCAAACATTAGATGGGATGGAATGATGGAAGCTGTTCACTAGGGTTGAATGAGCTGCTTTTGCCAATTACAGACAAACATCTAATAAACAACCAGCCCTTGAAATCATAGTAAGGGTGAGGAGAGGTGTATGTGTGTGCATGTGTGCATTAATGTGTGTGTGGGGGGGGTTGGGCTGTGGCTAAAATGTATATAGCTCCTATTGCCTGTTCTTGAGACACAAGGAGAATCTCTCTCTCTCTCTCTCTCTCTTTGAGGGAGAGAGAGAGGGGCTGGGGGAGAGGGAGAGAGAGAATCTTACCTAGTGTGGAACCTGACGTGGGGCTTGATATCACAACCCTGAATCATGACCTGAGCTGAAATAAAGAGTCAGATGCTTAACCAACTGAGCCTCCCAGGTGCCCTGAGAATCTTTGTCTCTTAATTTGAACTTTCATCATCCCTCTCCTGTTGAATTCTATATCCATGTTCCCGCACCTTCTTGTACTTGTAAATTTTAAAATTATTTGGCATGAACACCTTGGAAGTGAGTCATTTTCCCCAGCTTTTTGATGAGAATTGATAAGAGGATGCTGGGAGATGGTAATAGAAAAGGCATATGGAAGGGGTGCCTGGGTGGCTCAGTAGGTTAAGCGGCTGCCTTCAGCTGGTCATAATCTCAAGGATCCTGGGATCAAGTCCCACATCGTGCTCCCTGCTGAGCAGGGAGTCTGCTTTTCCCTCTGCGCATGCTCTCTCCCTCTCTCTCTCAAATAAATCAAATCTTTAAAAAAAAAAAATAAAAAAAAATTAAGAAAAGGCATATGGGAGGAAATACCTAATGCTTAAAAGGAAAAAGAGGGACAGTACAGTGAGAAATGTAACTGCCAAGTGGATTGACCACTTAGCTGGTTACTACATTATTTTCTTGGGTGAGAAACATATTCTGGAAATCAGCTTAATTTTTAAGAGTAGTTCCGGAGCAGTAGAATCTGACCGTATGAATCTTAAACAAGCTGTGGTAGTTGGCTCAGTTATCTCCCCTTTAAACAAATACTAACATTGGATGGGTTGTTGTGCTAATGACCTTCATGGTATTATATAACCACTTATTGATTCCTCATTATTTATGGTCATGATTCTATGGAATTCTTCTTCCGGGGGTTAGGGATGGCTTGCGTAGACCAGAGGTTTCCATTGGAAGAGAGATGACACAAGCATCACTGCCTGGTCTGCTTTGGGATTCTGAGATGACCTTTAATTTTTCTGAGTTACATTCATTTCTTAATGTCTGTTAATCTTCCCCCCTCCCCCCCAATCTAAGTTACTTTAGAAGTGTTTAGATTTTCAGGTGGCTTGGATTTGGGAGGTGGGTCATTTTGGATTGTTAAAATCTAGTGTTTGTGCTTCATGTTCAAAATGTATTGCCTCATTTCTTCTTTTTATCATTTATGGTATTTTCTTTATGGCCTAGTGCCTGATACTTTTTATAAATGTTTCTTGACAAAGATATTTATTATCTGCTCCTGGGACTGGTTCCATAGACATTAAACTTATATCATTGAAACATTCTGGACTACTCCAAGTGTTTCTTCTCTGATCCTAGCCTGTTGTACATTTTCACATTACCCCTTTACATATCTCACTGGGATTAGCGAGATGAAGGCAAGGAGTTTGGGAGCAGCATGCTATTTGAGGCAATCCGAGAGCCAGACATTACAAGAAGAGCCCTTTGCGCAGACTGATTTAGGTTCTCCTTCAGTGAGAATGAAAAAAAATTTCTTAAATTGTTGCCGTAATGGAATTGGTTCTTTGAGGAACACTTCCCACTCTTTTTCTTTCAGTCTGTCTTGATTACTTCAGTTCTTTAATTAAAGGAGAGAAGAGACGATCATCTTAGAAGAATTTAGTCTATGATAAAGGATAAAGAATAGCTTATTGCTGTATGTGTTAATCTTGGGAATGGGCTAGAGCGGAGATAGAGAAGGGGTTCAGCCTGATCCATTATGAATGGGGCATGTTGGAGATTAATTGGTTGATTTCTTTCTGTGTTCTTTCTCTTTTTATCTCTGCATACACCCTGTTTTATGAAATGTGATATTCCTCTTGCCTTTTGTTGAGTTTGATTGTTGCACAGTGGTGACGAGTCCTGGCTCTGGAGCCAGTCTGCTTGGGTTTGAATCCTGTCTCCACTGCTTGTTAGCTGTATGATTCTGGGCAAGTCACTGAATTTCTTTGTCTTGATTTTTTTCATCTGTTAAATTGGAAATAGTACCTACTACATAGAATTGTTGGTGGGATTAAATGATATAATATGTGAAAATGCTTAGAATGGTACATAATAAATGTACCCAAAGTGCTTAGTAAATGTAAGCTATTATCATTATTCCATTAGGCGATGGATAGCCAGCTTCACATTTGCCTATGACATTACATCAATTTGGATAAAGAATAAATTTCAACTGCCTAACAACAACAGCAACAAAAGACTAAATGTTAATTGCCTGAATTTTTAAAATAGCCAAATAGATGAACCTCTTGAGTATTATTGCAGTGACCACAAAGATTAATCATTGATGTCACTACTTAAATGATGGTTTGCTTTTTGAAGAAAAGGCTATCATTTATAGATGCTTTCATAATTCATATGTGCTGAGTTATACAGTTCTCCATGTAGATGGTCTTTTTTTTTTTTTTTTTAAAGATTTTATTTATTTATTTGACAGAGAGAGAGATAGCGAGAGCAGGAACACGAGCAGGGGGAGTGGGAGAGGGAGAAGCAGGCTTCCCGCGGAGCAGGGAGCCCGATGCGGGGCTCGATCCCAGAACCCTGGGATCATGACCTGAGCCGAAGGCAGACGCTTAACAACTGAGCCACCCAGGCGCCCCTAGATGGTCTTATTTTTAAGCTTTATTAAAGTTACTGTAACAAAAAGAGGATTAATTACAATTTCTCCTAATGATTTTAACCTTAATGTTACATGAATAAGATTGTTTTTCCCTATGCAGCATCAGAACTTCCATTCAGCTTTGAGGTATGGGGTCTAGACGATTTAGAACTTACAAGACTTCAATAATTAACCATAATGGTCCTATGCATGTAACTAGTCATTGGTTAAGGATATATAGCTATGTTCATAAGCAGCCTCGTTTAGTATTTTTTTAAAATTAGTTAATTTATTTTGAACACCTGAAGCAGGTACCAATTAAAGAGAAAGCTTGGTCTGACTAAATTTAGTTCTTATAGTCTAAAGCTAGATTTTTTTTTTGAAAGTGATTAAGTATAGGGGCATAGATTAAGACATCTCACAGCTTAACTCAAATCTCAAAGTCTTTTATTCTAAGATACATTAATTAGGCTTTTGGGGACCTATGGGGGTGGTGGTGGGAGGGAAAACATACTGGTTAAGAATAATTTCTGAATTTACATCTTGTTTTTAGCAGTGATGTTCTATATACCTTCAAAAATACTATTTCTTGTTCCCTTGTATCTGGTAGAGAAATCCTATGTTTTCAGGTGTCCTGTCCCCTCTTATCTAGGTTTACCTTAAAGTTGATGTCAGTAGGCAGTGTTTTGGGGGAATTATCTATGAGGTCCTGGGTCCCTGGGCTAGCGCTTGGGTTGTGGGATGTGAGCAGGGGAAGAGGGCTGTAGAGAGGAGTCATGTGGACCCTTGTATAGGAGCCTAGCTCTCACTCCCTTCTGCTGGGGCTGCTGCTGGTTGTAAGGTGGGTGCTGTTAATTGTTGCACTTACCTCCGGAGACTAGGTGGCCCACGCTTTACGGCTGCTGTAAAGCATTTACTGGGAGGCTGGCAACTGAGGGTGGTTGCAAGTGACCGGCCAAACATTGTTAAAGTCCTTCTTGAGTAGTACAAAGGGAACGCGGAGATGTGGTTAGAGACCTGGGCACTGTGCCCAGCTCCGAAACTCATTCATTGTGGGACCTCAGGGACTACCTCTAATTTTCTTTTTGGAAAAATGGAGAATAATAGTATAATGCTTACCTCTAAGAGTGTTTTGAGGATTGATGAGTTAATCACCTTGGCTGAAGGCAAGAGCCTATCCTGGTCATAATTTCATTGCCTTTGCAGAGAAGTTCCAGTGTGGGGAGTAAAGTAGTGAAAATAAAACAGGAATTGAGTGGGCCCTCCACAGCTTGGTGTGTCTCAAGTCCGGCTGTAGATCAGGTTTTCATTCTAACTGGGGGATTTTAACCTAAAATTTTTATCTGGTTTTTAGAAATGACACCAAACCAAATGTCTCATGCGCCGTTTGTGGGAAAAGAACAGATGTTTATTCTGAGAACATATTAATGAAGATGCTAGTGGTTTTCTCCCACTGTAAGGGAATAAGATGGGTCAGAAGAGAGAGCGTCGATTTAAGTAGAGTTTGCGCTTACTGTCCCATTGCTGGTGTGTTCTTTTTGAGAGAATTGATATTACTTCATTTTGTTGGTTTTTCAAGTTTCTTTGACAAAGAAACTTCATAGATGTCAAGCCAAAACAAAACAAAAAATATAAACACACACATACAACAGTTGCTTTAAATACCAAGGATGTCAGCATGAAATTAAAATGAATTTACTGACATTTCTGCTTTGAAATTTTTTAGTAAAACTAATTTAAGCCAACGGTGACAACTTCTGGCTTTACCTTATAATGGGAAGTTTGACCTTTTTCAGTGTTTTTTGGCTCAGGGGTTTCGACATGGGGGTGTTTTTGGTTAAAATGTGCTTCAACTGTCTAATGGCCCTTGGGATTTTGGTCAATCTTTGGTTGTGGAAGAGCAAATGCTGTCCATTGTGTTGGTACCATGCAGTTTTCAAAGACAAGGTCTCTGAAGTAGCGGCTGTGGTATCCCCTCCTGCCCACATGTAATTGTTAAAAAGAACGCTGTTGTCATGTGAATTCTTATTTTTTTGAGCTTGCTTTTGAAGTAACTTTCACAGAGAATTCCTGTTACCTAGAAATTGATGACAGACTTACACCATTTCCTTTTTTTTTCTTAGACGTTCCATCCTCAGAGCAGCCTGAACTGTTCCTAAAGAAACTTCAGCAGTGCTGTGTCATTTTTGACTTCATGGACACGCTATCTGATCTTAAAATGAAAGAATACAAGCGCTCCACTCTTAATGAACTGGTGGACTACATTACAATAAGCAGAGGCTGTTTGACAGAGCAGACTTACCCTGAAGTAGTTAGAATGGTGAGTTTCTTTTTTTCGCCGCGGACACTTTTAAGCACCTTCCATAGCGACTCACAGGTGTATTTATTGCAGAGTCAGGTCACTGGAGGTCACCTCCACAAATGAGAGCCAGCCTTCTGAGAGCTAAACTAAAGTAGTCGGAACAATACTAGAATTTGAAGAGTGTGATTTCAGGAGAATGAGATCCAGAACTTTTCACCTACAACAGTACTGGAAGAATCAATGACTTCAAAATATGAAGCCAAGATTGCCAGGTATTCTTGGATTTCTGGCATTGTGAAAAGAAAAGCCACAGGAGAATCAACACGAGTTGTAGATCTGTGTTTGAAAAATATTCAAGCCTGTTGGATGTCTTGATTTTTTTTTCTCCCTCCCTGTTCATTGTGGTAAATTAGAAATGGCTTTAACCTTAATAAAATTGTGATTTGTAGAATCTAGTTAAAGCCTGCCCTGGCTTTATAAACTAATCATTGTCTTTATAATCTTGAAATCGGGTGATGTCTTTCATTATTTTTGAACAGTGTCTTGCACTTTGTGTGGTCATTAGGAGTTAGGAGAAACATTATTAGCATAATGGAAGTAACTATGTTCTTACTGGGTCAGTAATTATATTAGTTTGGAAAAGCTGAGCCAAAATATGGTTTTCTGATAGAGTTTTATGGGAAGATTGCCTTCTTTGGCATCCCAGAAGCTCTTGGATCTAGAGAGTACGTGTTCTTGGGGGAGGAGGAGCTCTTCTGCTGACTGGTGACATTGTGCTGCAGAGATCCAGAAGGGTCAGTGCCCCACTGGGAAGCCCTTTGGAGAATCTGGCCCACTCTCTCTGTATTGCTGAAAATCTGTCTAGCTTTTCAGTTCAACTTGTAGCATTTGTATTCAACAAATGCAGAACAGAGACATCTGTGGTGGAGTAGATGTGGTTAAAAGTGAATAGTTCAGATTTGGGAAGGGATGTGAATTATCATAACTTGAGAAACAATGACTGATGTATGAAGATCATTTCAAAACAACGTCCAGTGTATTCCTCAGATCTATATCTGAATGTATATTGCATTTGTTGTTAATTTGCAAGAATATCGTAGCAGAATATTTTGTAGATTAACTTTAACATTGTAGCTCTTGAGCACTGGTTCTCAACCAGGGGTGATTTTGTTTCCCAAGGCACTTTGGCAATGTCTAGAGACGTTTTTGGCAGTCACAACCGGGGGTGGAAGGGGCGTGCTACCAGCATCCCGTGGAGAGAGGCTGGATTGCAGCTAAACTTCTTATGCCGCACAGGACAGCCCCCCAAAAAGAATTATCTGGCCCTAAATGTCACTAGTACCGTTGTTGAGAAGCCCTGCTTTAGAGTTTGCATGCTATCTAAACTTCTTAACCTGATATTTAGGGCTTACTCTAGTCCATCTAGTTTCTGCAGAGCAAGGCCCGTTGGTTCTCATCTACCTGGGTTCTCAGCCAATAGAGGTATCCACTGTTTATAACTTGCTTCTTCTGTATCATTCCATGGATAGTCCACGAATACGTAAGCATATACGAGCATATAGTATAAATACAAAAAGTGGTGGCATAGTATACACACTTACCTGTACCTTGCTTTTTTTTTTTTTTTTTTACTTATCCATATATAATATATATCAATACACATCAAGGTGTCTTATTCAGTTTTACAGCCACGTAGTATTTCACTATTGGAGGCAGCATAATTTATTTAACCAGTATCCCATGAATATCCTTATATGTATATACATATCAGCTTGCCCTTGTGTGAGAACAGCTGTATGTTTACTGATTTTTTTTTTTTTAATAGCCTTTCTTTTCCTGCTGTTTCAGAGACCTTCGTGTGTTACCTGGCCCCCGCCTCTAGTTCTGATTCTCCCCTTTCTTTCCAGACTTGCTACCACTGCTGCCCAAAAAGCCCTGAGTTGTTTCTCCTTCCTTCAGTTCTTCCACTTCTTGGCAATCCGGCCTTTTGGAATTTGTTCATTTGCTGCTTTTTAAATTTTTCCACATGTGTTTGTCCAATGTTTTCTAATTAGACTATAGGCACTTCTAGGCAGGAGCTGTGTCCCACTCATCTTGTGGCTTCTGGAATACCTCCTAGCACAGGCCTACCTGGAGTTTTTTGAATGAGTGAATGAATTCTCTCTTCAATGTGAGCATTCCAGGCTCTCAAATTATGATTAAGATATTGAATGTCATTGGATTATATTCAGTTTTTAAACCCAGTATTTGGCGTAATAAAATTTTTTTTTTAATTTTTATGAAACTAGCTTGGATCTAAACCAGCTTTGGTCTTTTATTTTTTTATTTTTTATTTTTTTAAAGGTTTTATTTATTTATTTATTAGAGAGCGAGCGAGAGAGAAACAGCATGAGAGAGAAGAGGGTCAGAGGGAGAAGCAGGCTCCCCACTGAGCCGGGAGCCTGATGTGGGACTCGATCCCAGGACCCTGGGATCATGACCTGAGCCGAAGGCAGTCGCCTAACCAACTGAGCCACCCAGGCGCCCCCAGCTTTGGTCTTTTAAAGGAGACTGTTTTCCCTTCTCTGCTACCCTCTCCCAGTCCCCTACCAGATTTTTTTTTTTTTAAAGTCTCTTGTCAGTTGTGTGTGAACGTGTGTTTTAAAATACACTTGAGCCTACCTTAGGAGGTGTTAAATCTGTAGCACACATGCTATTCTAGGGCATTAGAAAATTTATTTTCCAGATGGTAGTTTAGGGTTCTCAGAGGTATAATTTATTTTTCATATCTCATGATTTGTGAAATTGTAGCTATTATTGTTACATGGTTCTTAGGTAATGTGGGGCATTTACAGAGCAGGAGCTAGCGGGGGAGAGTAGAAAGAGAAAGGAGTTTGCAGCCACACAGACCTGGGTTCAAGTGCCAGCTCTGGCCACACTTAACTTGCTCCATGACTTTGGACGGAGCCCTCCATCTTTGGGGCCCTCGCTTTTTGTGTGGTGCTGAGAGGTACATGGGATCAGGGGAACGGCGGCCATAGTCCTTCCTACCCCGCTCCGTAAATACTCTGCCTAAGTAAACTTGTTATGCTTTGCTCGTACATCAAGGTTCTCGCCACGTCAGATACACGTACAATCTAGCATGCAGGGCGCTTACTGCTCTGGGAGAAGGGCTGGAACCAGGGCCCCACTTGGTGTCCTCTCCTCCCTTCCGTTTTGCCACCTCTTAGGCTCCTTGTATATTTGGTGCTGCCACGGCCCACTTTCCTCATTTGTATCACACGTGCCCTTTTGGGCTGTTTGGGAGGATTGGCAGTAACGATGTGTATAAAGCTCTTAAAATAGTCTGTAACACATGGCAGGCATTCAGTCAATAATACTATTATTCCTGTTTTGATAATTCTGTAATTATGTACTTGATTTTACAATCATTGGTGGAACCCAGAGTTCCTGTTTGTGGACTTAAGATGCTGTCGACTGGATGTGGTATAGTCCATTGCCTTGGTGGTGCTCAAATTCTGCAGTTCCAAGATGGTCCTGTCTGTGGATCGTATGTCACTGTCCCCACCTCGTCTGCCTTGTTACTGTAAAATGCAACTGCTTCACTAGGATTAGTGAAGGAAATGGTGGTGCTTTTAGTGAAATATCAGTGAAATGATAGCTAGGTTTTATAAACTAGGATGGGTCATGGACTCGTGATGACATGTTCTGGTGTCAGCACTGTTCGGAGAAGCCTTTGATTTAACCTGATGGGACCTATCCTTTGAGAGTTCATTTCTTGTTAGGGCAAGAAAAGAGTGACAGATAAAAGTAATCTATGAGTTGTGGAAGCCATTTTTAGCATTTAAATAAAGTCTGGATGCCACCTCCAGGCTATTAGAATTAAGAAAGCAAAATAGCTCTTTTTTTTTTTTTTTTTTAAGATTTTATTTATTTATTTGACAGAGAGAGACACAGCGAGAGAGGAAACACCAGCAGGGGGAGGGGGAGAAGGAGAAGCAGGCTCCCCGCCAAGCAGGGAGCCCGATGTGGGACTCGATCCCAGGGCCCTGGGATCATGACCTGAGCCGAAGGCAGTCGCTTAACCGACTGAGCCACCCAGGCGCCCCGCAAAATAGCTCTTTATGTGTAAATAAGATAAAACAATGTAGCACCTAACTTACCTGCGGAAGAGTAGTGTGGGGTAGTGGGGAGAGCCCCAGACAGAAAATGTGAAAGTCACTCTCCTCATTTCTCATCTTCCACTTGACTGGTGGTGAGATCTTGGGCAAGTAATTTCTCTCAAGCCCCAATTTCTCCTGTTGTAAATGGAGGGGGTTGACGGCAATCGCCTCCACCTTCCAGCTCTGAAGACTATCAGCTCTTTTGGTCAGTACAGTCTAAGAAAGTTAGAATGGATTCTGCATCCATACTAGTTGCTTAGGTATATATTTCTCATGAGGGCATATCTGATGGAAAAACCAGAATCAGGGCTTGTAGTTCTTTTAGGCTTTGGCGCATTCTGCTTTGTATCATCTCAAGTGTCAGGCTTCTGTCCTTGAGGCAGTATTTTTACCACATTATGCTAATGTTTTCTTTTTGGTTCTGTTGCCATGCATCCATTTGAAAGACTTTTTAGAATTTCTGGCTCTCCCAGTAATCTTGTGCTTTCCCCCTGCCCCCCGCCCCAAACTCGAATTCTCTGTATTTTATACTGTTTATATCTGCACATCTTCCTTTTCAAAAATGTCTCTTTTGGGTATAGTTCAAGTATGAGATGAAATCTCATTGGTGAAGACATTATTTTAGTGAACTCCAGGTAAAGTTTACTGAATGACTTAGAACTGCACTTTTAAATTTTGACGATAAAAAAAGGCAGGGGCCCCGCTCTGTCAACAAACTCAAAATCAGGTAGAAGGGATACTCGTGAAGAAATAATAAGAAAAATGTCATATGTGCATTAATAGAAGTATGTACAAGGCAAGGAAGGAGTAGAGAGAGGGGCGATTAGTCAGAGGTAAGTAGAGATGGTCAAGGAAGGCTTTTTACCAAGTAAAGCC